AAGACAGAATAAGCAAAACATGGCGTTTATGAAAAAACTATAGTTTAGCCACTTTAAGTTAATTGAGTTGATGATCTGCAGCAAAGCTGCCGGGTAGCTGTCAACTCTACTAGCAGCTAACTACGCCATTGTATACTCCTCTCGCATTTCTTCCGACTCTTTTGCAACAATATAATTATACCAATTTGTTGGGATCCGATTTGAAAGCCGGCCAAAGCGCTTTTGCAAGTACTGCTCCACTCAAAAACACAGCTGTGAATATGAGAGCCCATCTGAACCAATTGACGTCCAACGTCCAAAGGATCTGGGGGTTCATAAATAACAGAGAAGGAATTAGATACGCAAACAAGATGTAGCCTACCGAGACGGGAACAAATATAGACAAACTATATCCATAAGCGCAGAATAAATCGGATAGGGCGAACTGCAATTCTGTTTTCCTTTGCCAAAGAATAGCAGAAATAATTATGGGCACAAGTACAACGTAGAGAAATACCAATGTGGCCGATGATGTGACTAGAAATAACGGTGACAGAATTAAGAGTTTACGTGAAGTAACAAAACTCACCTAGCCTAAAGTCGCTCCCGTAATTGCCTGAGGCGCCTTCGTTTTCGATGTATTGGGCAATGTTACCAAACACGCCAACTGAGAAAACCAGAGTGACGGAGATCCAGAAAGGACCTGTAAAGTATAAGAACGTATTTAAAGAACCAGTTGTGAATAAGGAACATTTTTGTCTCGCAGTTTATTAATGTCAAGTTTCTGATATTTTGCTGTACTCAAACTTCGATGTTTGATACTACCTCTGATTCTTCCAAACTCAGCTGAGATTTTAAAACAAAAATTTAGACCACTAAAAATTGTCATAAGTAAGTGCAATGAATCTTTCTTCTTGAAATGAAGCACAAGATGAAAGAACTTACCCCATAAATCTGGCATAGGATGAACAAAATCCAAAATGAAGTTTTTGTTAGTTGGAATCACACTGTTTAGAATCCTTTTCAACACCTAAAATGAGTGAAGAGTAAACTTAAAAGCTAGCGCACACCTCGCCGAGCCGATCGAAGTTTTTCTGCTACCATAATTAGTGTTTCATTACCAGTTATAACCAAGCATTATTCCAAGGGAAAGGAGCGCTCAAGTCTCTAGTGGCCATTCCATTTGTGCCATGCAGGTTGTTAAATACTGCTAAATTATTGTTGGTGCGTAACCTTGGGGTCCATATTTCTGTGATTGTAACGAATTCTTCCCAAATTTGTAAACAAATTATGTGACGTAGGAGTGCCGCGAATATGCATTTACCATTTTATTTTATAATTTCTTAGCTTTGCGATCTAGATGAATATGGGAACGATCTGCAGCAAGTAAAAAACCAAAACAGACTGAGTTACAAACTTTATGA